TAACGGACAGGCCTCCAAAAAGCAAGCTTGGAAAGCAACACACCTCAGATTGAGGCTTTACAACACTGGCCAGTTCTACCATCATTTAATAACTGCAATATGAAGCGTTTCAAACTGTAAATATTCCCCCCCCCCCGAAAAATAAAATAAAATAAATAAAATAAAATAACATAAAATAAAATAATATAAAATAAACAAAACAAAACAAAATAAAATAAAATAAAATAAAATAAAATAAAATAAAATAAAATAAAATAAAATAAACAAGCATTCTGTGTCATTGTTTCCAGTTTCCAGAGTGTAAAACCTGTGCTCAGGAAGTCAGAATAACTCGCCCAGTACCCCTGATAGGAACACGAGCTCTCATGCGTTGCTTGCACCTTTTCTGTCCCACACTTGTCTGCCTAGAACATCATGGCTATACAGCAAGATTCCTGGGTAGGAAAGGAGATTATATTCTTTGTTCACAAGGGCAATATGAAATAGTCATGGAATCCCTGCTGCAAGCTTGGTGCTACCCAGAAGGCCTTCTTCATTTCTCTGCATCATTAGGAAGCCCTCACTCCACTCCTAGCACAACAGTAACAACAGTGAACAGATTTTCTCTTTTCAGGTATATTACACTTCTTCTTTGTACATGAATACATTTGCTATCCTGCCTGCATCCCAACTTGGGGGAAGTGAGCACGACTGCCACCACTCAGGTGCTGGACCAAACTCTGGTGCTTTTCTGTACACAAGAGTGGATTGCGAATGTTAGGAAGCATGTTGGAGGGCAGACGTAAGTATCCCACTGTCCCTATCCTGTCCTGTGCTCCCTAACTAACCCTAGATGCTGTGCAGGTTTGGTTTCACAGGTCTCAGAATACCCCAGCTCAGCACATTTTCTATTTCCTCCACAAAGCTCAGCACTAGGCTCGGTGGCTCCCAACAGCTCAGAGTCACATGCAGCTGTAGCTTGTTGGGGTATCATGGCAATGACTCACCACGGCATATGACAAACTGGACATCCTGACACAGTACGGAGAGCTGAGAGAGAAGTAATCCCTGAAAGACCCAAGTTCAACCCACTCTGCTAATTCATGATCAAGGTCCAGATCTGGGGGTCCCGGTGGGCAGTACACTAAGCATGAACCAGCAGCGTGCCCTGGTAGTAATGACGGCTAACAGCACACTGGGCTGCATCAGCAGGAGTCGAGGCAGAAGAGAGAGTAAAGTGATTATTGCCCTTTACTTGGCACTCGTCAGAGCACATTGAGAACTCTTTAAGGTCTCCCTGGAGCCTTGTCTTCTCCAGGCTGAAGAATCCCAATTCCTTCTGTCTGTCTTCATAGGAGAGGTGCTCCAGCCCCTTGATCATCTTTGTGGCCTAGGACATGGTTGGCTTTCTGGGCTGCAGGTGCACACGTGCTGTCTGTGAGGTGGGATGTTTTGTGATGGGATGTAAGTGGCACTGGTGTAGCTGTGGGCCATGCTAAACGAGTGCAGATAAAATGGTCTCTGTGTCTAGTGCCCCCTTTCCATTCTGGGATCTTGCTTAGTCTGTGACTGAATGCTCTTTCAGCTTTGCCATCAAGGTAGTCACAACATTACCGGGCCTCTTGATGTCACGTGTATCAAATACTGGACCCAACAAATACCTGGATTTCATCCCTTTTCTGGTTGAAACTTTGTTTCTGCAAGTAAAAGCACTTTAACGAGAAGCTTAGATGTTGTTGCACTAGGGGAAGCTGGTGTGCTGCCTCTAAGAGGAACTGTACGGAGGGTGGAGTGGAGTGGAGTGGAGACATCGCGGCCAGGCTCCGTGTTAAGATGGGAACTCAAAGGTGTACAACGGAACTGATAAGCTGCATATTTGCTACCCTGGGCCAATGGCCTGCCATGTTTTTGACAAAATGCTGTCCTTTTGGTGAACTTTGCTCATTATAATATCATTATAATACCAAAACACACCTCCATCCCCACAGCTACCCACCTCCAAGGTGTGACCACCCCGCACTGAGCATGTGCTCTGAATTTCTGGGAGCCTATAACTTTAAACAAAAGCAAGAAAATTTAGCACCAATCATAAGAAAGGTGTGTATGACTAGAGTCACTCAATCTCCACCTAGAAGAGAGAAAATAATATAAATTGGATTAAGAGAGAGGGGATGTTAGGGAAGATACCATCCTGACTTCTGGGACCAGTTGACGGGCTGAACGTCTCTTCTCCCCCTCCCACAATTGGGACACCTTTGGGTGAGATTTGGACAGTTGGTTATAGTGGGTATCTCTGCAGAAACATAGAAATCTCTGTAGGGTCTTTGTACCTTTTTAACGCATGAATTGCCAGGCTGTGTATTTCATGCATGTTAGCTTGCTTTTGCAGACAGTAAATCATCGCTGGCAATCCAAAGAACCTGTGTACCTCTTGCTGTAATAAATTGCATTGAATTGCATTGTTCCTAGCTGTGACAGTTCTCACTGAATGTGACTGTTAAGGATGTGTTACATTGTTGGTGAATCCATGACCGTGATAGTTCAGTACTCTGAATCCAACCGGACCCATGTCGGTTAATTCTTTATTGGTGAATCTGTGACTGTGATAGTTTGGTACCCTGAATCTGACCGGACCCGTAATGGGTAATTGTCTACACGTGTTAACGCGACAGAGCTGTAATGAGGATGGCTGTTCTTTTCAAGGCAATGTTCCAAATGTTGTTTCATTACAGACAGTGTTTGATGGAAGGAGGTTTAGGCTGCCTTAGATAGCCTGTTGCCACTGATGAACAAGTCTGTGAGATGTCAGCATTTCAAAGCGACTTCATGAGCTGTGTGTGCGAGAGAGCACTGCATCCTGGTGTTAGATGCATTTTGAGACATCCGTTAATACATCTGTTGAAAGACAACGAGCTAATATTCATGTGTAAACTTCAGTGTCAGCTGAACAGTTAAGGTTGGCTTCCCTTCCCTTCTGCACAACTCTGCGTTCTGGGGGAAGAAAGAGGTTCTTGTGCTTTGAAGACAAAACCCAACAAACCCAGAAGTGTGGAATGACTTCCACACATTATTAACACCTTTAGTTTCACTCCTAAAGTTTACCTGAGATCATAACCTGACTTGTCTTTGTACTAAGTGCGTTTCTTAGTAATCAGAAGCAAGAGATCTCCAGAGGGGTTGTGTTGCTTTGGGAACCGAATCAGAATACCTTCCAAGGGCATTAGTGAGATCTGCATCCTGGTGAGTGGAGAAATTTCTAAACTGGCTTGGTTTAGCCCTGGTGCTGTGCTGTTATTGGATGTACTCTGTGACTTGTGGCCTCAGCGTGGTGAGCTGGCTCTCCCAGATTAGCTAGCTCTTCTGTCTTGCTATGTGAATGAGACACGTGGTAGGAACATGGCAGAAGACGATCAGTGTTTGAGTGAATCAGCAATGTCTTGAACAAAAGAAAGAGATTGAATTCATTGGCTTGAATTGTCGTTCCCTCCATGAACGGGACTATGAGGATCTCCTCATCTGGTGTGGTGAACTGAGAGAAAATGGAAAACTTCCAACACCTGCCACTCCCTTTTTTCCCAAGAACTGTGAATGTTGTTCACTTTGTTCAGGAAGTGGTATTAGGACAGCAGTTTTTCCTCATTCCAGCTTTCATCCAGTTACACAACACTGCTGCTCAAGCTTGGGGCATTCTGCGACATCCTGGTTTGTAACATGCTCTTATCTTGATCTGTATACCATTGAATTTACACCTGTGTCAGTGCTTGTTCCTCAATCTCAAGTTCTATGTACCAAGAACAGGTCTTGAAGTTAGATATGAAGCATGTTTTCAGTCTGTTGCATCACTCGTTATCTGTGAGGAAGTCAATAAGCAGGAAATTGGCCCTGGAGTTTCAAGAAAAAACATGAATGTTCCTGCATATAAATTCTAACATAAATGTTACTGCATATAAAATCTGTCTTGATTGTCTGAGTGCTGGGAAATGCTGAGTGAGGCTTTGCTGCATTTCCTGAATGTATGGACTGGTCACGTGCACGTGGGTGAAGAGGCAAGAGGCTTCTAGTTTCAGCCCTAACCAACTGTCTTAGGGTATGGATGGCTGGAGACATTTACCTTTCTTGCTGGCATGGAGCCATTATACACATAAGATTTTAGGGTGCTCCTTACATTTACTACTATTATTATTAGTGCTTTACATGGCTTTTTGCTCCTGCTTGCACCATTTCTCCCCTCGTCCAGTTCTGATTAAGATTACACCCCTCTCTTTACAGAGCTTGGAACCAAGGTAAACCTAATGCATTTCTTGCTGCTGTTGCTTGTAACTCTACCTTGTTCACTTTGTGCTTTGAATGACTCTTTATGCATGGATCCCACTGTAAAGAGGGCTTTGTCTTCTGTACGTGATTTACCTGATGACTTCTTTCCTGATGTAAAAGTATTATTGCAACAATCAGAAACTGCTCTCGAGCCTTATTGGTCTAATGCAAGTTTGAATGCTCAATGTTATTACAGCCACCAACTTTTCAGATTTGATACAAGATTTTTACTAAACCACCATCCCCTTACAAAAAGCTTCTGCCAGGTCACTAGGACTTAGCACCTCCTAGCACAGACATTTCCCCAGAAGTATTGGTTTCTAAGGAAGAAGCTGAAGATTTGGAATTAGATGAAGTTTTTGAAGAACCAGTTTTAAAGATACAAAAAATGGAATCTAGGTTATCCTATTCCTGTGCTAGTTCATTTGATGGTGTATAGTGAAATTCAAATGACATCAATTGATAGAGGTAAACGATTATTGTGGTGGCATATTAATCGTCTCACCTGGGGAGAGTCTTCTATTGTGGAATATATTGCCAGGCTTCAGACTTGTCTGTCTAACCCTGAAAAATAGAGGGGAAAAGATGCCCCAACCATTGAAGCAATCACTAGAGGAATTGTAGCATCACCGCAGTGCTCAAGGGCATCTGGACCAGCTAGAGGCCCTTTTCAATCTAGGTGACAGTGTTTGGCCCCTAGACAACAAAAGGTCAAAACCACGGCTGAATATGGAAGGCCCTGGTCCAAATCATGAGACAGACAGAATTCACATGTGGGATCCCCGGGCCTGCATTCTGAACCACCTAGCTGATGATGCCCCCAGCTGGGAGACAATACTCATGGGATTCATCAACTCGGCTTGTTAACAGGATTATACAAAATACCTGGGTGCAACTTTAATTCTAACTGGAAAATACCTGTCTTTACAGAAACTAGTATTGCTCCGGAGGGACAACAGGAATTTCCTTTGAGAAACTGGAAATATTTATCCCCAGTTAAATTTTGGCCGAAGGGTATTTCCTATTTTCCAGTGCAAGCTGGGGTAAAGGTAAAAAAGTATCCAGGTTTTGAAATCTCCCATGAATCCCTGTGTGAACTTGATGTGCGTAAAATGGTTCAGGCTGGGATCTTGTACAAACAGGAGTCAAAGCACCAAGACTCTTCATAATGTCAAGCCTAAACCTCCCCTGGTGCAGCTGGACACCATTCCCTCGGGTCCTATTGCTGGTCACTAAAGAGAACAGATCGGCGCCTGTCCCTTCGCTCCCCCTCGTGAGAAAACTGTAGGTCGCGATGAGGTCTCTCCTCATTTGTTAAGGGTTCAACTGAAGGGCATACCTTGTGATTCCAGCTTTGTTTGCCATAGACATTTTTCTACTCTGACGTGGCATGCTTACAATGTATGCAAAGAGCATTCTTAGGAATACAGAGATGTACTATGTTCCCTCAGAATATAATCCTACTGATTACAGGCTTATTCTCAGGAAACCCCTTGATTAGTCCTCTGTGCATTAAACACTTTTCCTGAAGCTGTTAAAATTGCCAGCCAGGAGATATTCTGATTAAGATTAGAGTAGTGATTGGTTGTATTTGATAATAGTCATAGGACTCCATGGTACATAGAGGTGTATACATATACAAGTTGCCTGGTGACTCTTCTCAGACTACTCTGGACTTGCCTCCTCAGAACCACCCATCATTTCGGAGACGTTACCTGCCACCATGGAGACTGGGGGCTTATCTGAAACTCAGCCTGCTACTCCAGAAGTCCAGCATATTGCTGACCAGGTGAGTTGCAACCTATCTGAAGATAGAGTCTGTGTGAAGGGTGAATCTTGTGCCAAGGCTGGGAGACCAGGTGGTGATACTGAGTGTTGAAAGTGAAGCAAATGCCCTTGCCAGGAAGTATTTTTCTCAGCGTTCTGCGTGGGCACTGTGCAAGTAAGACAAACCCAAATCACTTCTCTGTTTCATCCTTGCCCATCGGCAGGCATAGTACTGGCTACCTTCACTTAATCTTTGCATACAGTTAAAAGACCAACTCTACTGTTCTTGCACTGTGGTTGCTATATTTGAAAGGAGAAGATTGTACGTGATAGGTACCGATATGCAGCTATTAGGAAAAAAATTTTTAGGAAGCCTAACTCTAATGTGATGTTAAAGAATGCTGGAGGCAACACTTGAAATAGGAAAGAATGCTGGAGATGTGGTTGTAAATTGAATTATTTTGATGGTTCTGGGTTTATTTTCTTACAGGTACGTGTTTAGAAATATGAAAACTGGAGTGGTAGAAGGGAAGAACAGCCTAAATATGAACCTGCCAACAGTTTTTTTTTTTTTTTTTTCTTTTTACAGGTGAAGCCAGAATTTGAAAGAAGGGAACACAAAAGATATGATACCTTTCGAGCCATAGTATATAGGACTCAGGTGGTTGCTGGAACGAACTACTTCATTAAGGTTTGTATGTGTTATAAGAGGGATTACTTTGTAGTCCAACAATATAGGTGACTTGCATAGTGGCTTATAGCAAGAAAGGGAAGCAAATGTAGAAAACCTGATGTGACCAACAAGAATCAACACTATCTCTAGCTGCTTATAAAATTCCTGTGTCACTACTCTAGAATAGAAGTATAAAAACTTAAACAACTTTCACTGTGCTTGTTGAGATGTGAATGATAACTTTTGTAAGATCATCTCACTTGAAGACAGTGGATAGCCTTCTCAGCTCAAATTATCTCAACTAGCCGGAACTGTGCTCTCTGTTGCCTTTCAAGGCAAAGCAGCAGAATTCATATTCCCTCTTGTGTCCTCCAGTACTGTTTACTATAATTAATTCGATTTATTTTAACAAATTCAATCTTAATAAATGTATTTATAGTACTGGTGACTGATGATGTCTTTCCCAATTTTGCAAGTGACAGGAAACACTTCTTCTATTTAGCATTAACTGGAATGAGCTCTTTTATACTTGGGAATTTTCCACATCACTAATATTTTACCAACAAATTTACAGCTGAGATGTAATGCAGACAACAACAAACATAGTGCAACACTGCAGTCACCAGAAGGCATGTAAAGACCTCTTAAGAGCCTAAGGCATTAAACCTTCCTTTAATACCGTAGACCTCACACACTAAGAGTTGAGCACCTGTTGTATTTGGCTCTGTATGCAGGAAATTCTGTGCAACTGTGTAGGAAATCTTTGCGAGGGCTTTCTGGAGGGGAAGGCAAGTTTATTTACAAAATGATTTCAGCCGCTCATGCTCATCCGTGCAAGCACAAAGACATGTCATGTTGTCTGTCCAGGCAGCAGTGGGTTTGCAGTAAGAAAGACCAGGGATCTTGGCTTTCAAGTTGTCATGGCATCTCTGGGGTTGTTCTTAAGACCATGTGAAGGTTTTGGATAGATCTTTTTGTACCGTCTAGGAGCTGATATGGTGTCTGCATCTTATCCCACCTCTGAGCCATTAGGACTTAGGCTTTTGTCTCCTGCTCTAAATGTCCCGAGAAGTTTGAAGCTGATGGACAAGGATCTCGAAGAGCTAAATGGAATGCCATCAAAAACTTTCTCCTTTTGTTTCTTCTGGTGCTTCTACCCCCAAGAAGTCCTGATTTTCCATTAACATCTGTCTGATGTTCTTTATGTGTTTTATTACAATCTGTGATGCATAGAGACTGAGTTCTCCATGTATTTCCTGCCACCTGTTATCATCCAGACTTGGGCTAAGTGTCACTGTAGTAGAAGTGAAGATATGCCTAAACTTAAGCTTCTGAGAGATCTCCTTCCAAGTATGTAAGAGCACCTTTTAGTTTCACACATGATCCTCATTCTCCCACTGTTCTGGTTTCTAGGTTCAAATTTCTGATACCAGCTACGCCCACTTAGTGGTGTTCCAAGCCCTTCCCTATGAGAAAAAAGATCCCATCATTATCAGATATGTGATTGACAAAACCAGAGATGATCCTCTGGAGTACTTCTGAGAGATGGTGGGGAATGTTTCCCGACTTCTGCAAGTTGCACGGGGATTCTGCCTGTGTCAGTAAATGCATGAGAATAAAATAAGTTTTGAAAGCTGTGTTCATCTCCTGCTTGTTGTGTCTGAGTCTGCCGCCTGTCTAAAGCTTGAGAGGGCTCTGAAATACTAGTCAGAGCTGTTCCTGCCTCCTAAGGTGCTGTAGCTCTAAGACAGAGTACACTCCTTTTCTCTCTTCTTTCCTAGTACTGTCAGTGTTTTTAGGTGTAATAGGCTACCTGTTTCTTGAGTTTGCTCTTAGTGCATTAAATACAAGGTACTGGCTGCTCTTCAGAAAGTGTGATAGAAATTTCTAGAGGAGGGATTGAGGAGCCAAACTTTGTGCCCCTCTGTATGGGCAGCTTGACTGGTTAGGGTTGGGTGAGGAAAGGCATGACCTACTCCAAGTAGCACGAAGAGCGACCTCCTGCTGCAGCAGGAAGAGCTCAATCCCAGCACCCAGGCCCGGAGCAAAGCGTGACCATCGTGATTACAGAGCATGGTTTACTGGAGATGCATGCAGCTCATTCGTTTTTTGTAGAATCACAAACCTGCAATGAGATCAATTTTCAGTTAAGCTCTGAGGGAACAAAGGAAGAAAGCAACCCCAAACCATGACAACCATATTTTTGTGTTAGCAGCTGCTTCGGTAGGTGCTCTTGAATTACACCCAGTGCAATCCAAGCCAATGAGTTTGGGTTCAGATGTGAGACATTAAATGTTTCAATGGGTCTCATGCCATGCCTTGCTTGTGTTCATATTTGGTGCTGTACTGAATAGGCATGCATTAAGTCTAGCATTATCCGTGCTAGCTGACCTCTCTCACAATACCATTTGGCAATACTGTTCAGCTTTTTTGGAACCATATAAAATACTTCAGGAAGGAGAATTTACCACCAACAAAGAATACCATCTCCAGATGCACCTTATTTTAGCAAAACAAGCAGTGCATAACAGCCCTGACGTATTCCACGAATGTTCTATGTTGGGAGTGTGGGAGGACTCTTTGGGCTGATGTGAGCAAAAGAATATATGCAAAAAAGTAGTCTGAGCTCCCTGAAGCTCCCCTTAATAGTTAGGAAGCAGAACATGCTCTAAACCGTGCTAGAACATGCTCACACTGCATTCCTGCCCCAAGAGGCATAAGAATGTGCATGTGTAGTTTCTTCAGTGTGGAAGCAAGAATCTGCCCTGGTGTCATACACAGGTGGGCTGTTTCTTCTCAGTTCAGAATGCAGCACCACCTCTCCCAAAGTAAAATATCAAAATTTCCAACACACACACACACACACACACCTGACCTCCAACCCCCTATCCTTCGTCCCCCAAAGCCTTTCTTGTTGCCTCACCCAATTAAAACAAAGTATTTCTAAGTAAAACAAATATTCATGTAAACATAGATGTGGTGCTTAGTGGCATGGTTTAACAATGGAATTGGCAGTGTTAGGTTAAGGGTTGGACCAGATGATCTTAGAGGTCTTTTTCAACTGAAATGATTCTTATTTAGTTATTTGGAATGTGAAAAAGGCTCACGGAAAAAAAAATGAAAAAGATAGCAACTATTATTGAAAAAGCAGTAAAGAAGACAGAGAAATGCCAGTGAAATATACCGTCTAAATTTGAGAGAAGTATTTATTGTTGTCAGTGCAGAAATGCTTGTACAGTTCGAATTTCTACGACTTTCTACGACTTCTCCTTAGGACTCAGAAAATAAGCAAGTTTTTTAAAAATCTCATACACCCTCTACTGGATATTACATCCTACTGCTGCAAGAGAAAAAAAGATTAAGGGAACGTTCTAAAGACTACAGTACTCCTGATCCTCTTGCTTTCAAAGTCTTTTCTGTTCAAGTCTACCTTCCACGAGTGTTACTGTCACTCCCCTGCAACTTCCAGACTAGGGAAGTCCACAAACACGACTCAGGCACAGTATTCTGGTTGAGGTGCACTGTAGCCAGTGCAGCTCCTTGGGTTTGCATTAGCAAAGGGTGAAAGGAGAGCTATGTGATTCATTTAGATATTGCACTGTAAGAAAATGGCAAAAAGAGAAATGGATTTTCTTTCCAGCTTTGTTAAAAAGAAAGATATTTTCTTGTTCTTTGTTGGAACAGGAATCAACATTTTGCAGCCTATAGAAAATATACATAAGAAATCATTAGGAAGTCACATAGTCACATAAGTTTGCTAGAAATAAGTCAGTTCATCATGCTTCAACTTGCTGCTCTGGTATCCGTGGAGACTCAGTGGCTTATTCTCATGAGGAAGGCTTTTGAACACCCGCAGGTGCACAAACTCATCATTTCCAACATGGACCTGAAAGGCATAAAAACAAGTGAATGCTATGGAGTAACAGTCGCCTTCATCGGGAGGGATGATTTAGGTTGGTGTGTTTGAGGCTGGGGAAGCAGAGACACAGTAAGGGAGAACATCACCTCAGAAGGTGTGGCCTTGCTTGAGGCAGACTGAGAGTTGTGACTTTGTGGAAACACCACCTGATCTTTCTGTCTGTTAATCCTCCCTTCGCCTGAGACAGGGAATGTGTCTCAGAGTTGCTGAGAAGTGATTAAATACATGAAAAATACTCTAATCTTATCCGGAAGAACAAAGACTGAAATGCTTTGATCACAGTTGCTTATTTTTTTTTGTGTGACATCACTATACACAGAGTCAAAGCAGGTTTGATGCTTAACTGTATCCTTCCACATTTGGACTTCACTTAATACAGTATCAGTGCTCAGTGTCATGGATGTGTAATTTTTAAAAAACAAGTTTCACTAAGTAAGACAGGCTGGGAGGTGGGGGTGATTTTTTTTTTTAATTTAAATGCACAGGTATATTCTTATTAATGCCAAATCACAAGAGTTCCTGTGTAGGTAAAGTAAAGGAAAAACGTGTTTTATAAAAAACAAAAAAGGACAAAAAAAAGGGGGGGGGGATTCCACTGCTCCATGTCCTTTACCTTGATAAAGTAGTTTGTTCCAGCAACCACCTGAGTCTTATACTCCACTGCAGTGAAGACATCAAAGGTTTTCCCTTCTTTTTCTTCTAGCTGAGGCTTCACCTTAAGGAAACAACAAGTTACTAAGACTGATGCAATACTCAAGTATTTAGGACTTTCGGCTCACACTATCAGTGTGCCTGATTACCCTGAAGGTCTTTTTTTGTGTGTTAAAGCAAGGCCAGGAGTCTAGATAGGCAGCACAGCCAAGACAGTGATGTGGTTCCATCACCAGAGACAGAAACCAAGTCTGGAGACAGCCTATACCAAAGAACTGTGTTGTTATTCTGGAAGATTTATTTTGATGTTATTCCCACTGTTAACGTCTCAGCTTCCCTTTCTGCCCTGTATTTAACAACAAATGTAAATTGGTTTACTATGTACATGCACAAGACTTTAGGTCTTTTGAAAAGAGAAGATTTAAAACATATACAATTTGTACAAAAAGAAGAGGGCTGTCTTCAGCGTTAGCTCCCTCTTCAAACCACTCAACAGACAGGACTCCAAAAAGCAAGCTTGGAAAGTAACACACCTCGGATTGAGGCTTTACAACACTTGACAGTTCTTCCAGCATTTAATAACTGCAATATGAAGCGTTTCAAACTGTAAACATTTCCCTCCCCAAAATAAGAAGCATTCTGAGTCATTGTTTCCAGAGTGTGAAACCTGTGCTGAAGAAGTCAGAATAACTTGCCCAGTACCCCTGATAGGGACATAAGCTCTCATGAGTTGCATGCACCTTTTCTGTCCCAGACTTGTCTGCCTAGAACATCATGGCTTCTTGGGTAGGAAAGCAGATTTTAGGCTTTGTTTACAAGGGCAATATAAATTAGTCTTAAAACCCCTGCTGCAAGCTTGGTGGTACCCAGAAGGCCTTCCCCAGCTGCAGTGCATCATTACATAACCCTCACTCCACTCTCAACGCAAGAGTAACAGCAGCGAATAGTTTTTCTCTTTTCAGTTATATTACACTTCTTCTTTGTAAATTAATACATTTGCTGTCCTGCCTGCATCCCAACTTGGGGGAAAATGCGTGCCACTGCCACCACTCAGGTGCTGGACCAAACCCTTGTGCTTTTCTGTGTACAAAAGTGGATCGGTAGCCACCCTGTCCCTTGGAGCTGTGACCATACTCTACATCTTCCCTCTGAGGTCACAGCTCTATACTTCCTCCAGGCTATAAGCAGTACATCAAAAGTAAGATAATGATGTTTGGATGGTTGTGTACACATGCTTTTTGGCATATAGAAATCAAAGTGCACCCAATAATTTTGCATTTGCAAATGCATGGAGGGGTGAGTCCCAGAAAGCACAGTAATTCAGTCCTCCCTGCTTCTTCCCACTGAGTCAGAGGATGGAGCAAGTGGTTTCCTTTCTCATTCCTAGTAGAGCTACTGTTCCAAATTTTAGGAAGCACAGGGGAGGGCAGATGTAAGTGTACCACTGCCTCTATCCTGTCCTGTGCTCCCTAACTAAGCCTAGGTGCTGTGCAAGTTTGGTTCCACAGGTCTCAAAATTGCCCCAGATCAGCACATTTTCTATTTCCTCCACAAAGCTTGGCACTAGGCTCGGTGGCTACAAACAGCTCAGAGTCACATGCAGCTGTAGCTTGTTGGGGTATCATGGCAATGACTCACCACGGCATATGACAAATGGACATCCTGACTCAGTACGGAGTAATGATGGCTAACAGCACACTAGGCTGCATCACCACTCGTCAGAGCACAGTTTAGGATACTCTGTCCAGTTTTGGGCCCCCAAAACAAGAAAGAGAGATGTCAATAAACACAGTGAGCTCAGTGAAGGGCCACCATGAGCTAAGATGGCTGCAACACTTGCCCTTTGAGGAGAGAAAGAATTTTTTTTTTGTATGAGGACAGTCCAACAGCACAACAGGTTGCCTAAAGAAGCTGTGCAGTTTCCATCACTAGAGTTTTTCAGGACCTGAGTGAACAAAGCCTCAAGCAGCCTGGGACTGCTGACCCTTCACTGAGCAGGAGGTGTAGCCCCTTCCCAGCTGAACATCTGCAATTCAGTGACAGGGCTGAAATTATCACATCCTGGCAGCTCTTGGATGATCTGCACAGCCTGTTTGCGTACTCCCCAAACAGCTACGAAGGTTCAAAATCACCCTGACTAATCCTTGGCACAGCTTCCAGCGAGAAGCCAAAGATGAGCAAACCCGGGAGGGAATCCTTGCTCTTACGAAATAACACCGCGGAGGCGAGAGCTGGAAAAGCAGGAACAGGAAACGCACCCGCGTTCAGCACACCGGCAGGCTCTAGTACAAAGATTCGAGCAAAGAAGATCATTTGAGAAGCCTATCCTGATTTCACAGAGCATGTTTTTCTCGATATCTATCCCTGCAGGCAGCAACCCCAGCACCGTGGGGGCGCAGGGCAGCCCCCAGCAAGCCCACGCCGGGCTCAGGCCCTGCGGGAGCCGCCCGGGCCCGCGGGGTCTCGCCGTGCCCGTCCCCCTCACCTCGTCGGCGATCTTCTGGGTCTCGCTGGTGGCAGGCTTGGTCGCCGAGGCGCCCCCACACAACATGACGGCGGCCTCCCCTCCTTCCCTCTCCTTTCCCGGCCTTTCCCTCTCCTCTCTCCGCCGAGCAGCGGCCTCCACGCTGGGGCCCGCCCCGGGGCCGGGCCTGCCGCCGAGGCGGGCCCAGGGCGCTGGGTGTGTGTTTATTTCTGGCTGCTCTGAGCAGGTGCCATAGAGAAACAACAGCAAACCCGCCTCCCCCTGCGCATCCCCAAGGCCCCTTTGTAAATTTGGTAAATATATCCCTGAATTTACCAGCGGTGGGTGTTGCATCCTGCAGGGGGTAAGGGAGGACATGCATGAAACAGAACAGGGAAGGAGAAATTCTGTCCCCTTGCATCGTCCCTTTTCTGATGGTCCTGCAGATACCAACCAAGGGCACATGCTTTGATGTAGATTTTTGAGCTGTGGGGGGTGTGAAGGGGCAGCCATTCACACGAGTGACTTCTGATGGGGCATGCCAGTGAAGTTCTTGGGCTTGAGCTTTCCACAGAAGCACGTAACCCAACTTTTTTTCCATGCATGGAAAAAAAGAGTTTGGTTGCAAATCACCTTCATGAAGGGGTTCCTTCTTTACTGATTTCCCTAGCCTCTAGTGCGTGCCTCACTCAAATAAGGCTGCAGCAGAAGTACGCACATAGCCTGTGTGGCTTGAGGCTTTCAGCGCAGGGTAAGTGTGCAGTGAAGGTGGATGGGGCTTCCCCAGGAAACTGAGCAGTTCAAATCTGTCACAAGGAAATTATGGCAGGCCATTGGAGCCTCATTGTGTGCCAGGGTAGAACTTCCTTTTAAGTAGACGTAATGAATTAAAAACACCCAACAAGCTTAGCAAACAATATCAACATTATCTACTGTGAGTGTAGCCAGTGAATATTGTCCTCCAAACAAAGCAGGCAGGGATGACTTCATTTCTCACATTACATGTGTTTGTGCACAGTTTATATCTTGTGTTGTGCTCATTTGATTCATGGAGAACTTCTATACTTTCAAGGCTGTCAGCTTCAGGGGCTACTTACTGGGTCTGGCCTGTAGGAGTGGTTCACTAGCCCTAAAGTTATTTGGCTACTGAACTTTTACTGAGAGTGAACTGTAATTAAAGTATTTTTTTAGCCCTTTTGGCATCTAATAGCTATCTGCATTCACATGTTTGCTTAGACCCAGGAATCCATGGGTTTCAATTAGCACCTTTAAATTAAGCCTGGGGGCTGCAGTCAGCAGCAGCCTGGGAAAGGGACCTGTGTTTTTTTCAGGAACAATGAGCAACTCCCACTTGGTCCAGTGTTTTCTGAAAGTGTGGCCACAGTGACTTGTGTTTTCAAACTCTTTTTCTTTCCTTTAACCTGCAGTACCATAGCTTTAATCACATATTCTTATTTGCAGGCCAAACAGTTAAAGTTGGATTGGTTCTTACATTGTGTAATTAAAATTTGAGCCCACTCCAAGTAGAATATAGCAGAGCAACAGAAGAGTTAAAATAACTTGTCTCAATAGCATTCTTCATTGGGTTCTGGATTTCCACTGTGCCCCCGTAAAGCAAAACTCCTCAGCAGCCAGTGGAGGTTGCAAAACAAAGTTTTTATGCAGTAATGTCACCTGTAAGTTTTATTTTCCTGCCCTGGCGAAAGAACAAACAAGCAAAAACAGTAACAAGAGAATTGTATTTTCCCCAACACATTCACACAGTCCTTTCATCTCTGCTCACGCTAAGCTGCAGGCCCGTATACCTTTCCACAGGGGTCTAGACTACCTTCATGTCTGATGAGTGAAGGTACTGACATCTTCACAGCAGATTCCTGTTCTTGTATATGGGATCTGTAAATAGGTAAATAAATTTTGCAACATAGCCTCACCCTTCCTGCTGGACTGCCTAGAGGCACTCTTTCTTTCATCAGGCTGCAACAAAATTCTCTTCTAACGACTCTCTTACTTGAACCTTTCCAGCATGGATGGAGAGGAACCAGGCATACCCTGCACAACCAGGAGCACTTATGTCTGCTTTTGGGGGTGTAGAACAAGAGTCAAGAGTAATGAAGGTCAACTGTGCTCTCTTCTGAAGTCCTTACTCTTCTCCTCTAGGTACAGTGCACCCTTCCTCTTCTAAGTACCCTCTCTTCAAGATGGGCCAGGAGGGACATAACCAATTAGAAGGCATATAGGAACCAAAACATACACAATTTACTCATTTGTCTGTTGGAATATCTCAGAGCCCAGGTCTGTACATTTTCTTCACCCCATCATCTACCAGCATGCACACTTGCAATATTCATCTGAAATATTACCAAATTTTGGGGCTATTTCTCCATCCCTAACTCCTCCATTTCACCTTGTTTTATTGGCTTTGTATCAGGCCCACGAGTACTGTCATGACTAGCGCAATGCTATGTGTGGGTGTGAGGCAGATTAATATGGCAAAGCACAACACTGACTATGGTGTGAAAGGGTTAGCCATGTATGCCATGTGGAATATTACAGCAGCAACACTTTGTTAAGCATACAACTACTAGCAACATAATCAATCATGAATACATGTCATTGTGCTCTCGCAACGTTCTCCAGGGGCATTTACAAGCTGTTCTCCCCCTCCACCGAAGCAGGCAGGTTGGAGGTAAAGCCACCTCAGCCGGAAGAAAACAGTAGGAACCTAGTAGCTTGGTCTAGTGCAATGGAGTCTAGGAAGGGTATAGTCCAGTATTTCCTGCTGGGCGGAAAGGAGAAATTGGGACATTACTAAATATAAATAGCAAGGCGCTCTGTCACATTAAATACTTTACATGTTCACACCCTTGGCTGTACACAGCATGCAGGACGTTGGGGGCTTTTTTATTTTCCCCCTGACTGTGCTTTCCCCAAGTGAAACTGTGTATCTTGCTTTTGAAGAGCTGAGAGTCCTGATGCACATGGTTACAGATCACATATACTGGGTAAAGAGGGAATATTATACATAGTGGGGAAGAGGAATATTATACATAAATGTAAAAGCAGAGTATAGTGGAATTGCCCAGTGCCTCCCGTAGTCAGCTGAGTTGCAGTCTGGCAGGAAAAGCTTACAGAGGCAAGGCAGCATGCAAAGTTCTGCTTAAGCCCCACCAGAGGCAATCTTCACTTGTCCTTCCAAGATGTCCTGATTTCAATAAAGCAAATGCAAATTCAGTTCAAGGCTCCCCAGACACAGGCTTCTGACAGTCCTTCCTCTGGAGGCATGTGTGTTACCCTGCCGGCACTAACAATAACGTGTGGTGGGGCTGTGTCACAGATATGTATCTTTGTTGTCTTTCCCATTCAGAAGCAAGAGGTGAGCAAGTTCCTCTTGGGGACTGGTGCGCTTTTCATGATCTTCTTTTGTTAGGAATGTACCGTGTTCTCTGTGACAGAGCCACCTCCAGTGCCTATAAAATTTCGAGAATTAGCTGATGGCAGGGAAGGCTCTGCCTCAGGGCTTGGTACCTCTTCTTTGGTGTCTCCCACCACTGATTCCTGCGAGCTGGACTCTGGGCTGGAAGCTGCCTGGAAGCCAGGCTCAGCACCGAGGGACTCACTGTTCTGCAGGGGAAGCAGGGCCCGGTGCCGCATCAGGCTGTCATCACTGTTCTGGGCCTCCAGGGAGTTCCTGCGCTTGGTGTTCCTGTTGGCCATGGCGTTCTTCTGCGGTTCCTCGAAGCTCAGGGACAGGGTAACCGTGCCGCTCCCGAAGCTGACCTTTTGCTTGCACCCACGCTGCTGCTGGCGCTGCCGCTCAGCTGAAGCTGGTAGAGGAAAAGGGTCTTCATGGTTGCTTTTACTGCTGATGGAGGAGGAAGGGGTGGATCCAGGTGGAGCCCCCGAGGCTGTTGGAGCGCTTGCGTGACACATTGCTCCGTCTCAATGTGGCCCTGGCAGCCACCTTGAAAGCATGGGCAGCTGTGCTGCAGCGCACTTCCTCGATTGTGTTGCGGGATGGCTTGAAGAGAATAATGTAGACTTTGTTGAAGAAGATGCAGGCCAGGAGCCCAAAGCTGGCAGCCAGTATCGCAATCACCTCCACAGCAGAGACAAACTTGCCATATGTGCTGGCATAAGCAGGGATGAAGGAGATCCAGACAATGAAAAAGATCAGCATGCTGAAGGTGATGAACTTGGCCTCGTTGAAGTTCTCAGGCAGTTTTCGAGACTTGAAGGCGAAGAAGAAGCAAATGGCTGCCAGAAGGCAGGTGTAGCCAATGAGGAAGCCAAGGGCCATCAGGGAGCCCTCATGGCAAGTGATGAAAATAATCTCGTCCTCCAGCTCGTGGTTTCGATAACTGGATGGTGGGGCTGTGTAGAGCCAAATCACGCAGATGACAATCTGTACAAATGTGCACAAGAAGACCAGGAGGAACTGGAGGTTGAGGCCCCACCACTTTCGGTGGAGGCTTGTGGGGATCTTTGCCTCGAAGACAAGCAGGACACGGTTGGTTTTCACCAGGATGCAGGAGATGCAGAGCACGAAGCTGATGCCAAAAGCTGGCTGCCGCAGACGACAAGTCCAGTTCTGGGGCTCGCCAATGAAGAACAATGAGCTGGAGAAGCAGCAGAGCAAGGAGAAGAGGAGGAGGTAGGACAGCTCCCGATTTGTAGCCTTGACAATGGGAGTGTTGCGAAATTTTGTGAAGACTCCCAGGACAAAAGAAGTCAGGAAAATTCCCAGCACAGCAAAGAGAGTCAGGGCAATCCCAAAGGGCTCTGTCCAGGATAGAAACTCTATTTGCTTGGGGATGCAGGATGTGTGGTTCTCATTGGACCAGTAATCCTCAGGGCATTTGTCACAAGCACTTGCGTCTGAAAAAGAAGTGACAGGGAGAGGGAAGGTTTGTCAGAATAAGAGACTGAAGTGGGAGACAAAGTGCATGGCAGCTACACCCTGTTCTTCACCTTAAATACAGGAAGTGTTCCCTTCAGATGCCTGCAGGTTCACAATATCATTTATTACTGTCTCAGAGTGTTCTACAGTGAAACAAGAAGCCTGCCAACTTAAAACAAAACAAAACAAACAAACAAAAAATGAAAACAAAACAAAAAACAACAACACGAATAACAACAAAAAAAATCATGCCCATGCACTCTGCTTTTTGGATCCATTTCTTGGTAAAACTTTGCAAAGCTTGTTTGATTACTTTTAGCTGTTACACAAGCTGTGTCCAACTCTGTTCTTCCTTTATCATCTGCTTCTCTCTGTCTTCATACCTCTTGCACTCTTATCATCATGTGAAACATCCTGCCTGTCTCTACTAGAGAGAAAATGAAAAACGTGCTTGCCTCCTTAAGTGCTTGAGAGCTTATTTCTTATTCCTTGGAAGTGAGTCTTAGAACTGTGTAAATTGCTCATCTCTGAAGGCAGGAAATGCCCTTGACTCCCAGCACACTCTCATTTCATTCTGGAACATCATGGGAAGATGTGTCCTAAGGATACCACTCAGACAAGCGTCTCACTGATAGTTGCAGGGGGAAAATTCATGCCTCTGTCTCCTTCTTCTGCATAAAAATAATTAGAACCTATTGGGATGGCAACATCTGTCTCCAATGGCTGCCATAATCAAAAGGGAAGAGCCTGCTGCTCCTGCTTTTCAACCCAGACAGGTCTTGTGCTCCGTTGGTGAGGGTCATGACTCCTTTGATAGCAGTGGAAAGGGGTTGAGAGCAACGAGTTGGAGGTTACATCCTGCCTCTTCCTTTGGGATCCCATCAGGATAGCAGTGCTAATGAAGAAGTCGGGAATTGAGTGCAAAGTATTTCAAGCTCTCTCTTCTGGAGGGGTGACTGTGGGGAGCATCCACTGCTTGATATGATTCTACTCTCCTAATGACTGCTTGTCTCTCTCACCTAAGTTGTTCACCTGAAAAACTTGCACTGGATGTAAAAGCACACTCAGAAGCTCCCATCACCATGACATTTCATTGACTTTTGTTCAGCCAATCTTTTTTTTTTTTTGGTGTGTCTTTTACCCGGAAGCCTATTGCAAACTGCATGTACAGCAAAGCTAACTTCACATGCCAGGGAATTCAGCCACCTCCACCTGATACAGAGGCAACTATTTATCACTGCATCCTAAAGAAGTACTTTCATTTTTGTCTTGAGCTGACCTAGAGACTATGCTGCCACATAAGGGAGCAAAACAGATCTCCCTCCTCCCCCAGGGCTGCTCATTCCTTCCCCTCTTTGTGTTAGCACGAGAATTCATGCAGCTTCTTGTTCCAGTTGGAAATGCAATCTGCCAAAAAATGAGATTGTTTTCAGGAAGACCACAGACCTGATCCAATTTGCTCTGTGGTTGCACAAGTACTAGACAATGGATGAAAGCAAACAGCTTGGGGAGGAGACGAGAGATTGTCTCCTTCGGTAGTATCACTATGTCAGTTTGATGAGGCTGGTTGTGAAACTGTTCTCTGTGCCTATAAAACTGGTAAGTACAGGAAGTAAAGAGCATTGCTGTCAGCTGAAATTGCAGCAGAAAACTGAGGAGTCAGAAAGCAGTCATGCTCTCAGCCTCACAAATTTCACAAATGTACCAGGGCCAGCTCCCAAAATCTTGTGAAAAACACCAAATGACACCTATTAAAAATGACCAGGATTGCTTCTATTTAATTAAAATATGTTGCATGTAAGCAACTTGTAATATATGTTTATGTACCTATAGTGTTTTAAAGTGCTATGTGTTTACTATGTGTTCTTGTAAAAGTATTACAATTCCTGTCTGATAGGATGCAGATTAGATTCTCTCCCAAAGGAGAATACTTCTTAAGTTTTGCATGCAACCTACTGGTTTTCATCTCAAGTAAGGTCTGCAGTATGCGCTGGGGCTGGTGCTGCTGGAGAGGGTCCTGAGCACTCTGCAGTATGTGGGGGACTGCTGCTTGGAAAGGATTTACTTGCCTTCATTAGCCTGGGCATGTCCAACACCAAGGAAAGTGTTGTTGGTGTTGGAAGTTGGTGAAGGAAGAAGATGGTGTTGGGCATTCAGAAAATTTCAAGCAACTCTAAAACTGGAGTTAACTTTTCCCTTCACTGCAGAACCTGAGTGGCTTGATACAAGCTCCCACCTCAACCAACAAAAAGAATGCTGTGGCTGTGGGTGTTTGATAGGACCCAAGAGATTCTGCTGTCTTGCAGCACCAATGTTAAGAAGCTGTGGTTGGTGACCCCATAAAGGGAAATGTTCCTCTTTGCTTTTGAAGTCGGGAATGGAATGGTCTTTATTTCTCTGTAAAGCATGAAATAAGAAGCTAATAACAAGAGGAAAGATGGAGGCAGACAGATAATTACAGTACTTAGGATTAGGGTAGAGAGTGTCTCTTTCCTCCAGGTTTTTTGAGAAGCAAAAGCTATTGCTACAATGCAGTGGAGTTTGCCTGTGGCCTGAGAGGCTTCCTATGTGCAAGTCCTTTTCAATTTCTCTGCCTTAATTTTCCTAATTCAGAGCACGAGTGACAAGCAGCTTAGCAGAACACAAGACCTGAGGACCACAGGACTCAATTCCCGTAAAATTCTCAGGAGAATGTCCTTCCAGGCTTTCTGTGAAGGCCCCTGGCAAAGCAGCCTCCAGCTCAGTAGTGCAGGTAAGTGACTTCAACAGAACTGTGGGTGATGGACAGAGGGCTCATATGGTCCACTGCAAACCCCAGAGCAACCCTGTGGGTATTACCTGTTTCATCACTGTACTCCCCGTCGGGGCAGTCCACACACTCGAAGCAGCAGGTGGGCTCTCCCTCAATAATACCTTTTCTGGTGCCTGGGAGGCAGTCCCTGCTGCAGTTAGAGAAAGGTACCTGCAAGAAAAGAGCCCACAGAAGGTTAATGGTAGCAGTGCCCCATGTACAGACTTCCCACAGCAGGACCTTGGGATTACTCCGAGGGTGTTGCTGCTTGGTTAAATGTTGGAGAGCCTCAGACAGTCCCCTCTTCTTTCCACAGAAGAGACACATCTTGCATAATAGTCTTCCCTTAAGCCTCTGAAGTGATACCTGTTTGAAGGATTGCATCAAGGAATGATAGGGAAGATCAGCAAGAGCTCTGTAATCTCTACTGTGTTGTGTGCACTGTGAACTGGTTTGTGACCCATGAGACATATGCCAAAAAACAGTCAGTAGGTGATTAAAAGAAAAGACAATCCATGTCTACTGGCAGGAATTTGAGTCAGCGTTGGAGATGATGGGCTCTGACTACTGATCCCCAATCCCATAGACTGCGTATCGACTATTAATGATTTATGGGCTTAAAACGGTTCCCCGAAACCTACTTCCTCCCAATGTCCTGAAGACCCTCTCTGGCCTAGAAACAAAAAGTAACATAACTATGCGAGAGAAGCCTTCATATTAAAGAGAGAAAGGCCCAATTTTAACAACACTGAGCATCTACAGATGCAGATCAGCAGCTATATGGCAGATACAGAAAAGGGGATGTCCACAAGAAGTACACCATGTTGAAGTCCATAGAGGAGACTTGTAAACCCCCCATCTCACTTTCATCAGAACTTTCAGCAGAAAGGTTACTTGGATTTCAAGGCTTTTGCTGCTGCAAATGACCAGAAGTGTCATCTTCTGACTGCACATTTATCCTATGCATGAACCCACCTGGGCATGGTCATACCCTGTCAGTGAGTGGTCAGATGAGCATGCATGGGCATGTAAAAATGTTAGTTAAACCCACATTTTCCACTGCCAGCAGAGTGCCCTGACCTGTATGTAGCTAAGGGCTGCTCTGGTTGAAAGCCTCCAATCATGTTTTTTTGCAGGTTTTCTGCTATGTGGAAAGGAATGAGCCTACCCTTCTCCATTCCTTACTGTAGGATCTAAAACCTACCTGAATCCTTTAACTTCCTCGCTTTTCCTATTGCCTGGCCCAAGTGCTGCTAACCTTCTCATCTCCAGAAAGCTCCTCTGTGGATATGCTTAGGCAGCGACCCTGGGTTTTAGTCTAGAAATTGCCTGTGTGCAGGCATAAACCTCAGCCACAGGGTAAGCAAGTCATGGGAAGTGGCAACTCCTTTGTGGAGATGCCCACCTTTTGGCTCTGGTATTCACATGCAGCTGAGAGCGGTTGCTGCTGCCTGTTGCTCTGAAAAATAGTTGCAGCACAGTTTGGGAATCCTGGTTCTAAGCTGTTAATCAGGATTGCAAAATCAACTGGTCAGTTGCATATCCAGGGCAAATTCCAGCAGCTCCCCACCTGAAGCACTCTTTGCAGTGAATTGTTAATACCTATTCCCTGGGTCAGTTTTTCTGCACACTGTGCATCCACCAAGAGGATTTGATCACTCTAGACTGTCCTTCCCTAGGCTGCCAGTGATGAGCTTGAACAGGGCTGAATCAAAACCCCAGCTGAGGCTGCGTGCTGCTTCTCCATTATCTACTAAGCTGAGTGTGCTGCCAAGGAGGAAAATTAAATACGTTTGACATGATTTCATCTTGACAAATCCAGGTTGCCTTTTTCTTATCAGTTTACTATCCTCTAAGTGTTTATAAATTGTTTAATATATTTTTTATCAAGTTTTTTGGGTTACTGAAGCTCAGCTCAATTGTGTGTAATTCCCTTGGCTCTCCAATATCTGCTTTTAGAAGCAGGTATTATGATTACCCTCCCCTAATCCTTTGAGACATCACTCGTCCTCCACATTTCTCAATGACAAATTTCTAGTACTTTTGAGATTGCTTTGGCTGTCTTCTCCAGTATTCTGTAGGAAATTTCATCAAGTTCTGCCAGAATGAATCTATCTTACCTACTCTTTAACTTGTTCTTTTGCAAATCTGGCCAATACTGCTGTTCCCATGTTAAAATTAATTATGTTTAATCTTTTTTTTTTTGAGGAAGATTGAAGGCCAGAAGTCTTCAATGAGTAGTGTACTGGATAGTCTTTTGAGCAGAGCCTTTTATCTTGAAGAAATTCAAATTCTATAAACTGAAAAAAAAAATACCTACAGTAGACCTAAAGATCATGATCCCTTCCTGGTGGCACACAATTTACCTGTCCTGGCATGAAAGTCATCAATATCCAGCTGCATAGGACAGTGAATAGAGATAAATGTTACACTGTTGGAGGAATACAGACCAAAAAAACCATAATTACTCAGTTTAAGTGGAAAAGAGGAGAGGAGAGGAGAGGAGAGGAGAGGAGAGGAGAGGAGAGGAGAGGAGAGGAGAGGAGAGGAGAGGAGAGGAGAGGAGAGGAGAGGAGAGGAGAGGAGAGGAGAGGAGAGGAGGAGGAGAGGAGAGGAAGGAGGGAAGGGAAGGGAAGGGAAGGGAAGGGAAGGGAAGGGAAGGGAAGGGAAGGGAAGGGAAGGGAAGGGAAGGGAAGGGAAGGGAAGGGAAGGAAGGGAAGGGAAGGGAAGGGAAGGGAAGGGAAGGGAAGGGAAGGGAAGGGAAGAAGGAAGGGAAGGGAAGGGAAGGGAAGGGAAGGAAAGAAAGGAAAGGAAAGGAAAGGAAAGGAAGGAAAGGAAAGGAAAGGAAAGGAAAGGAAAGGAAAGGAAAGGAAAGGAAAGGAAAGGAAAGGAAAGGAAAAAAAAGGAAAGGAAAGGAAAGGAAAGGAAAGGAAAGGAAAGGAAAAAGGAAAGAAAGAAGAAAAGAAAAGAAAAGAAAAGAAAAGAAAAGAAAAGAAAAGAAAAGAAAAGAAAAGAAAAGAAAAGAAAAGAAAAGAAAAGAAAAGAAAAGAAAAGAAAAGAAAAGAAAAGGAGTGTCCTGAGTGTTGGAAAAGGTGCCAGTGACATTTGTAACAATCAGAAGAAGGGGTCAGAATATCAGGGTTTTTAACTCCACTTGCAGTTTAGGCTCAGTCTGTAGCTGCACTTAGAAAAGCCAGGGCTTGGTATTTCTGCAGTGGTGAGCTCTGCCTGATTAGCAGATCCTGATTAGGCAGAGAGCACTTAATTTAATCCGTAAGTGAAACTGGTGTAGCTGGAGCAAAGGTAATGCTTAACTGATGATGTAAAGGTATAAGGCAAATATAGTTGTTCAGACAGAGTTACTCAGTCTGCCAGCCAAAGCGAATAATCACCTGGAAGCAAATTGCCTTATTCATCAGGTGCCAATTTAACACATCTAAATGTTGCAGCAGTGCCCGATGGCAACATTTTTAAACTAACACGCCCTGTGTCACCTCTCAGGCCACAAGCTAGATGCCTGCTCAGTAGCTGCTCCAGGAGCCAAGCTGTCTGTTCTGTCCAGTCTGTACACTTAGCTCTTGTCTGGAGATCTCTGCACTATCATGTTCCCATCATGTGAGGAGACAGTACTGGAGGCTAGAGAAGATACAATCATGATAAAAAGGTCTTACACCTACAACTAAGCAGAAAAGGACCTAGGCCTAATGAAAGTCAGTGGTTACATCAAGTACTTTTGAGACATATACCTGTACATATACCTTCTGGTAAATTAAAAAAAGATATCAGGTTCTGGTGTGTTCCACCATTTGAGAACCAAGTCCAAGTTAACCTAGGACAACAAACAGGAGTTGTGCTGTTTGTTTTGCAAGGCAAAGGTATGAGGAAGGCTCTGGGACATGGAGGGTAAAGATAGCAGAAACAGCTTAACTTGGAACAGGAAGAGACAATTCTTGTTTCAGAGATACTGGAAGCAGAAGAGATGTCTGTTTTCAGTGATGAAACTACTGTGCTCAAGAAACCTTGACCTAGTCAACAGCCAGGCTTGGGCAATGAATTTCTCATCTTTGTAGAAACAGCATTACGAAAACCTAAGCTAACTATTTGGGCCAAAGAAAAGGCATTATTTAAAGCATTCGTGCATAGGCTTATCAAATGTATAGGAAGGGAGAAGCAGCCCATTATTTCCAGAAGTGTGTACTGAGGGCGTGAAGGACTGGGGCAGAGAATATGTATACAATAAGATGAATGGGTATTTTAATGAGGCATGGAGCAATAATATGAGGAGTATGCAAGGTTGGTTCAAATTACATCTTGAAGCAACTTGTTAAATACTGCTGTGAGGATTTAAGCACTTACCTCCTTTGAGAATCCACTCCACAGGATTTTGTTTTCGTTGATAAAGAGCCTCTCCCCTTTCTTGGCGTAGACGTTGTAGTGCCCAACCTCCTCAAAGACGACTGAGCCATCCTCCGGAGAGAGATGCCAATTTATTATTGAGTAATTCCCTACTAGGTCTCCAAACTCATCAAAGTCCACTTGCTCCCCCATATTATTGGTGAAATTTAAGTGGCGTAGGTGCTTCAGAACCTAGAGAGAGATATAGAGACACTGTGAACACCTGTGTCACAACCCTAACACAGGACACGTCTGCTATTGGGACAAAACTGGAAATAATCACTTTACTACAGTGCTTAATCTCTTAAAAATCACTTCATTACAGCAGTAGCTGACTTTTTTTTCATGGACATCACATGGAAACAGAAACTCTGTAGAAACCTTGTAGACATCGCAAAGTATTGTGGTCCATTGGATGGATGGCAGCCATCTGCAACTTAGCTTACTAGTTGCTGCCCCTCTCAGCTTTTTGGTACCCATCTTCAGTCCCTTCCCACAACCTCTCCAAACCCACAGCTCTTCTTTAGGGGCAGAAAAGTGATGGCAGCCACTAAAGTGTTTTGGTCACCCAGGCATCCCACTCACCCTGCTCTTGCAAAAGTTATGCTCTACATAAAAACAATCTTAGAATCATAGAATATCCCAAGTTGGATGAGACCCACAAGGGTCACCTAGTTCAACTCCTGGATCCCCAAAAGACCACACAAATAATTAGACCATGTGCCCCAGAGCACTATCCAAATGCTTCTTGAACTCTGGCAGGCTCAGTGCTGTGACTGCTTCCCTAGGGAACCTGTTCCAGTGCCTGACCACCCTCTTGGTGAAGAATCTTTTCCTGATACCCAGCCTGAACTACCCTTGTCGCAGCTTCAAGCCACTTCCTCAGGCCCAGTTGGCATCATTCATCTCTGAATGATTAATCACTTAGAAACATAAATGCTTGTGAAGCAATTCAAATTTGTCCTTTGATTTAAAAACTCCAAATCCAATGTACTTGAGAATAATCCAGCAAATCAGACTTGTTCACCACACGGCAGGTCTGGGCAGTTCACAGCACTTTTTTTGACTCCTGTCTCCTTGTCACATGGTTTCAGGTAATCACATTCTGCCTGTCCCCACGTGTTGACTCCTGTAATTTTCATGCCTTAAGCTGTCGCATGGTGTGAACAAGAGCAGTTTAAACCAGGAACAACTGCAGTTGCAAAATTCATGATCCTGATAGCTGGACAAGTAGAGAAAAGGAGCAGCAGCATAGAAGAAAACCTGTACAAATGACTGTGAGACAATTCTTTTACATAGTAGGTACTTTTCTAATCTTCAAGAATAAATTGCTGTCTTACGCATTTATCATTTTTTTTTCCCTAATTTAAATTGAGATTCTTAGTTTTACAGTTTTCCTGTAGAAGTCATGTATGGATTCCAGCTGTTGTGACTCTAACAGCAGCTGGATGTCAGCTGTCCCTAGACCACTGCTGCTCTGGTTCTAGCACCTACAACAGCTTGAGCCCAGTTCTCCCTCTTTTATCTATGGGTGCCCAACCATACAATCCTGGATGGCAAAATGTAAAACAAAATGAACAAGCAAACAAAAACCCAAACTAAATCAATCTATGGGCAGGCAGAGACCTCCTCACCCCATAGACATAGAACAGATAAAAATGTTTTGCTGAAGCCTTTTCACTTGGAAACATGGGGACAGAGGAGCAGAATCACTTCATTAATTCCTGTCAGTTTTGCGAAATTGTCTCATTTTTCTCTGTTTCCCCTTAGGATCCTTCTATCACAAAATAAAATCCCAAGAGCTCCAGAGATACCCTTGTCTCTTTTCACACTTATATTAATGCCAACCTGAGAGAGTCTGGAACAATCAGAGTAGTACTACACAGGACATGGCTGGCTATACTTTACTACATAATCTTTGTGTAATGTTGATGGAAGTATACTGAAATATTAACACACTATTTAGTCTTTGAATGTTGAGTTAGATGGTGGAGGGAAGAGTTTTTTCTGTCTTTCTCATCCCCACTGTCCCTCTTCTGGAGGGACTCCTCCATACTGCATCATCTCACTTTGGCCTTTTTTTTTTACAGTAGGGCTGCAATCCTGGATGTGTTTGCAGGAACTTTGCCCATAAGGACGGTACCCAAGCACCTGATGATGCAGGAAACCTGCATTCCTCTTCAAGTTCTAGCACCTACCCCAGGGTAACACCTCCAGTATTGACATCCAGACCAGAGTTGTCATGATGAGCTGTGTTTCATCCTTCTCCTCACTCCAACAAAATCATAGAATCAAATGTTACACTCTCATGCAGTACTGCAGCACTGCTGAACTACACTAGCCCTGAGTGGGTATCACTGCTGGGTTGAACTTTATCTGTATAGGCAGGAGGTGCAGAACACGCATTTCTTTTGATTAAAGTTACTACACACATTAAGGGACAATCTTGCAAGAGCTGTATTTAAGATGCTTCAGTTTAAGTCCTGCCTCTCCTGCTCAGCTGCAGAGGCAGGAGGCTGGCTGTTCTTACTGTCAGTGAGATAAATGATAGAGAAACTTCTGGATCTCCTGGATATATATATATTTTTTAAATCTATCTTCATAGCATTAATCTCAGTCACTCTGTTCCTTAAAATTCACAGCGGAGGTGCATCAGGACAACGGGAGTAACAAAATAGGTTTCTCCTCTCAGCAAATACCAAAGTTTGCCTTCAAGTGTGAATTTATGAGGGGCAGCTTGTGAGCCAGTAACTGAGTGACTGCTAGGACATGTTCTTGTTTTAGATGGTAATAAAATCCAAGGATGTCACCTGTATATCACACAACGAGTTTTAATGTCTATGGGATGAAAATACAGTTTAAACAGCCAAGAAATATATAAGCACTAAACTTCAGAAGAGGAAGTTGTAGACTCTACGCTTGCCTAGAATTACTGCTGCACTCTTATAGGCAGCAGTCTGTTAATGATTAGCTAAAAGCTTTACAGTTAAAAACATGTCACTATGTTTTGTAACTAAACATAGAAACATAAATACCCAAGACTCAATGCACGAAGACTTAAAAGACCCTGCTTCAGTGAGGGCAACGACATGTGTCATGGGTGTATGTATAGCATTCTGGAACCAAGAGTTTACAGAAAGAAGTGTTGACCTCATAGCTTGAATACACCTTCAGCAGCTGGTGGAAGCCTGTGGGGAGCCTGTTCCACAAGCTGCTGGCTTCAGATGTTTCTTTCTGTAATTTCTCCCCCTTCTCTTCTGTCTGAATTACAATGCCTTTTAATTAAAACACCTGTTATCAGAAAGGACTTGTAAGGTGCCTTCTAGTCCACCTTCCTAGGCCACTCCTAGCCAGGTAAGGCCATTCCCATGGTAAAGCCATTCCCAGCCATGTTGCCTCCCATGCTTTATCCAGACTGGATATTCTGAGTAATGTTATTTCCACTGCAAGGAGCATAAAAACATAACACGCATATAGTTGTAGTAGGTCAGACTAGCAGCCCATCTCCCCAGGACCTGTTTCTGACAGTAGCCAAACAGCAAATGCCTAGGCAAGAGTCAAAGGGGACATGATACTTCCCCAGAGTACTCACACATTTTGCAGCTCAGTGACTTCCTGGGCCTAAGCTATTTGTACTTTATAACCCATAGTGGATTATTTTTCCATGATGCATATCTGTGTTCTGCACCTGTGAAAGGTTTTCACATCCACAACCTCCTAGCAAAGAGATCTACGTTTTATGACAAAAACTACTTACTTGTTGGAACAGAGCAGATGCTAATCTCTTTTGATACCCTTTGTGCTTATGTTGGAAGAGACAAAGAATCATGATTTGCAAATCACCTTTTCCATACATCTCAGGATTTTACAAGCCTTTGTCAGATCTCTCTTCAGCTATTTCGTTCCAAGGCTGATGAGTCCTATCTGACTTTGCTGCTTCTTATACAGAAGCTACTCCATTGACTCTTCTCCAAATTTTCCCAGTCTACCTCATCCATTCAGAGACCTGCATATTTTTGAAGTGAGATGCACCAAGGCTTAATAAGATGGCTCCAGCACAGTTTTCCTCTCCGCCCCCTTTCCAGTATGACCATTCTTAACACTCCATTTGCTTCTTTGATTATTGCTCAGCCAGAACTGAGCAGTCCACCTGAGGACCTGTTCAGTCTTGAAGATATCATTTGTGATTAGTCAGAACCAACCATTTATTTTTTCCTTTGCTCATTGTCTTTCAAACAACAGTTTATCCATGAAAGGAATGAATTTTGTGGCAAACATACGAAGCCACCTAGAAGCCTGAGCTGTCACTACAAACAGGATCTCCCTTATCCACATGCAGCCTGATGCCGTCAAACAACTTCAGGAGGTTTGTAAAATGGGACTTCTCTTTACAAAAGTCATGCTGACTCCTCAGTATATTCTGTTTTGCCTCCATTCTTTATTATTACTATCATTATTATTGTTGTTGTTGTTATTATTATTATTAAAGTACTATTTCTAATAATGGGCTCAGTCAGTCTTTGCTAGTTGCTTGGATCTCCTCCAGAACCTTTAAAAAATGATTTTCACACCTGCTATCTTTGTAGGCCTCAGGGCCCAACACAGTTTTAAACAAGAGTTTGGCACATTTTTTTTTTTTTTTCTCTTTCCTGCTATGGCCTTACCTTTTCTTTTGCAGTGATTGTCTATGGTCAGATTATCTATGATTATCTGCAGTCACTCCTACTCTTGAAGTGTTTAAAGAAAGATTTCATAGAATCATAGAATGGTTTGGTTGGAAGGGAACTTAAAGGTCATCTAGTTCCAACCCCCCTGCCATGGGCAGGAGCACCTTCCTCTAGACCAGGTTGCCCAAATCCCCATCCAACCTGGCCTTAAACACTTCCAGGGATGGGGCATCCACAGCCTCTCTGGAAAACCTGTTCCAGTGCCTTCAGAATAAAGAATTTTCTCCTTATATCTAATATAAACCAGGATATGGCTGGCTTTCTGGGCTGTAAGACTATTGTATTAGCCCAGTGGTCATGGCATACAGCATTTGATTTCCAATTGGCAAGTACCAGGAAGAAATATGTGCATGGCACTTCTGAAAGAACAACTCATAAAATGCCATAAAGGCAATGTTCCCTGCAGCAATAGGGTTTTTTATTTCCTCCATTCCTTCCCTTCTATGTATCTTTCTTTATCCTCAT